TTTGATCTTTAAAGTACTCTTGTCCTTAAGTGTTTGCCATTGTTTTTATTACCTCAATATCCAGTCTGTTTTGATGACAAGAGAAATCATTATTGAATTATTTTCAGCAAAATTTTACTTATGGTGATATCTTGTAATGTTCACTCAAATCTTAACACTTTCCATGGTTTCATAGTTATATATTTAATGATTCTTTGTATCAGAGTTTTTTTTTTTTTAAAGCTAGGGAATAAAATCCTAGCGATTAGAACATTCTTCTGATCTAAAAATTGAAGTGCAAACGTCTAGTGGAAGTTGCCTTGTAAAACAGCTTTGTTACGAATATATGTTAAAGTATGCATTCTACTCTGTATGCCTAAAAAGGACCTATGCATTTGAGTAGCATGTACATATGTGTGTTAGGTATGGTGAATTTCTAAAATTGATGGTTGGTTAAAACTACAGTTCTTTTAGACAATGAACTTTTGAATAAATTATGTGTAGTAGCCATGTCATTATTACATTTCAAGGAGCCCTGGTAGCTCAGTGTTTAAAGTGCTTGGCTACTAACCTAAAGGTCATAGGTTCAAACTCACCACTCTCTCTGCAGGAGAAAGAAACCTTGGAAACACCTATGGGACAGTTCTTCTTTACCCTGTAGGGTTGTTGTGACTCAGAATTGACTTGACAGCAGTGGATTTGGGTTTTTTGATTGAGTTATTATATTTCATTACATTACATTCTTTGAGTTACAAGAACCAATTATTCTTTAAATAGCACTTACACCCTCATTTTTATAGTTATTATTAAGTACCTCTGCCACTCAGCTGTCACTTTGTTGTGCTACCGTGGCTTGTATGTTGCTGTAATGCTGGAAGCTGTTCTACCAGTATTTCAGGTATCAGCAGAGTCAGTCATGGTGGACAGGTTTCAACAGAGCTTCCAGACTAAGGCACACTAGGAAGAAGGACCTGGCAATCTACTTCTAAAAAAATTGGCTGGTGAAGATCTTACGACTAGCAGCAGAGCATGGTCTGATATAGTGTTGGAAGTTGACCGCTAAGGTAGGAAAGCACTCAAAATACAATTGAAGAAGAGCTACTTTCTCAAAGTAAACATGGATGGAGTAAAGCTTTTGAGATCTTCATTTGCTAATATGAAGCTGAAGAAAATTAAAACAAATACCAATCGAGATGTCTCAACAATTGGAAGTACTTATTCGTCTATTTCAAGAAATTTAGAAGACAGCTGCCTGGCTGACTCACTGGAAGAGATCCATATTTGTGTTCATCCCAAAGAAGGGTGATCCAGTAGAATGCAGAAATTATCGAGTACTATCATTAATATCACCATAAGTAAAATTTTGCTGAAAATAATTCAATAATGATTTCAGCAGTGCATTGATAGGAAACTGACAGAAATTAAAGCTAGATACAGAAGAGAATGTGGAATTAAGGATATCATTGCTCTTGTTGAGTGGATCTTGGCTGAAAGCAAAGAATACTAGAAAGATTTTCACCTGTGTTTTATTGATTATGCAACAGCATTTGGCTGGATCATAACACATTGTAGATAACATTGCAAAGAATGGGAATTCCAGAATATTTTATTGTGTTTACACAACTTATACATAGACCACAAGGCTGTTGTATGAACAGAACAAGGAAATGTTGCATGGCTTAATATCAGAAAAGGTGTTTGTTAGGGTTCTGTCCTTTCATCATATTTATTCGGTCTGTATGCTGAGCAGATAAACCAAGAAGCTGGACTATACAAAGAAGAATGCAGCATCAGGATTGACTCATAAACAAGCTTAAATATGCAGATGGCATAACCTTGCTTGGAGCTCTGGTGGCATAGTGTCTAAGGCATTTGACTGCTAACCAGAAGGTTTCAGCCACTCTGCAGAAGGAAAAGTGGGCAGTCTACTTCCGTAAAGATTTACTGCCTTTAAACCCAAACCCAAAGGGGGTCACTGTGAATTGGAATTGAACCTTGCTTACTGAAAGCATCAAAGACTTAGAGCATTTACTGATGGAGATCAGAGGTTCCAGTTTTCAGTATGGATTATACCTCAATGTAAAGAAAACACAAATCCTCACAACTGTACCAATAAGCAACATCTTGATAGATTCCAATCTTTAGTATGGATTACACCTCAATATAAAGAAAACAGAAATCCTCACAACTGGACCATGAGACACGGAGAAAAGATTGATGCTGTAAAGGATTTAATTTTACTTGGATCTGCAATCAATGCCCATGGAAACAGCAGTGAGGGAATCATGTAATGTACTGGGTTGGGCAAATATGCTACACAAGACCTTTTCATAAAGTGTTAAAAGTAAAGATGTCACTTTGAGGACTAGGTGCACCTGACCCAAGCCATGGTATTTTCAGTTGCCTCCTATGCATGCAAAAGCTGAAGAAAAAATGATGCACTTGAATTACGCTGTCGGTGAAGAATATTGAATATACTGTGGACTGCCAGAAGAACGAACAAACCTGTGTTGGAAGAAGTACAGACAGAAGCAAGGATCACTACACTTTTTACTTACTTTGGATATGTTATCAAGAGGGATCAGTCCATGGAGAAGGACATGCTTGGTAAAGTTGAAGATCAGCAGGTAAGAGGAAGACCGTCAACAAGATGGATTAACATAGTGGCTACAGCAGTAGACTCAAACACAGCAATGACTGTGAGGATGGCATAGAACTGGGCAGTGTTCCATTCTGTTGTATATTGAGTTGCTGTGAATCCAAATCAACTGAATAGCACCAAATAACAGCAACAATATATGTACTGTTGTCTTTATAATACTAGAAAAAAATTCACTGGTGTGTTTAGAGTAGTCAAGAGGAAAATCAGCCTCACTTTTTTGCGTTTGATATGTAGCATGCTAAGTATCACATATCAATAAGAGACTTAATAATCCTAAATTGAATGAATCTACAAGCCTGGTGATTTATGGGTTTACTGTGCTCAGTTTTATGTGGTAGAAGTAAGTAGACCCCTGGATTCTTGTTTTATGTCTTCCTCAGTCTACGCCTAGCCCTTGCTAAGCAGTGATTAGCATAAGTGGAAAAAGAACTAGCTTCCTCTGCCTTCAATTAGATCTTGGGCATCAGAGTTGGAATTTGGAGGTGTCCAAGTGCCTCAGTTTATCTTTAGAACAGCAGCTTATTACTGAGAGGGCTGATGGCTATTAGGTTTCCATTAGGAGCTCTCCTGTCCATTTTTGGGAAAGACAATCTCTTTGGTTTTATTTCTCAGTGTTACTCATATAATAGACCTAGAAAGAACCTTGACTACTTGGATAAATTACCTCACCTTAAATGATAATATCAGGTGTGTATTTTTAGTTTACAGTTTAGAGTCAGAGAATGTTGAGGAAAGATAGATGAGTTTTCTGTCCTGCCCTTACAGTTTGGTTATTAATAATAATGCTCTAACTGGCCATCTAACCATCTCTTATTTATTTATTTATTTTGCTATAATAATAATTCTTTACATTTGTATGATGTTTTTAGTTTACAAAATATTTTCATATACTTGATATCATCTAATCTTTATAATTTTTGGAGATAGGGCAGCATATATGTATTTACAAGTCTGGAAATTGGGGCTTAGGAGAAATAATTCACTCAATTTACATAACCAGTGATGGCGCATGGATTTGTCCAGGGCTTTAGATTCAGCATCTGGGATAGTAATTTGCAGTGGGCAAAGAACTTGGGATGTTGCCGGAAGGAGAGGGGGAGAGGTAAATATCCTCTTAAGCTCCCTGCTTTCAAGACAAGTACCCCTGCTATCACTGTTATCCTCAGCTCTTGTCTCTAGAGAGTGGACCTTTACTCTTCTGCCAGGGTCGAAGAGGAGATACAGAGATCTGTGGGCCTCACTGCTTAAACAAACATTCAACCAATTATTTGTTTTTGTCCTTTACCCCTATTATCCCAAGTACCTGATGCTACTAATTACTGAGACTCGGGGTTCTTTGGATAATTGGCTTTTTTCACTGCCACTTAAGATTCAGATTTGTTGAGTCTGCCAAGTTACTACACTCACCCATCCATATTTGTTCATTTTCTAAAACTTATTATTGTCTGTTTTTGTGTTCTTTTTGTCTTTGTGAGTTTGTACGTTTTTAAAAAATGACTTTAGTTGTCATTATAGTTTGGATTTGGGAAAGAGAAAGGAGGCTAATATATGTGTTCAGTCTTTGTTTTAGTTTCCTAGGGCTGCCATAACAAAATACCACAAACAAGGTGTCCTTAGTACTTTGCTCTCTGAAGGACCTTTGGGGAGAATGTTCCACGCTTTCTTTTTAAGCTTCTGGTTTTGCCTGCATTCCTATGTGTCTCTTCTCTTCTTATTAGTGCACCGGTCACAGTTGGATTTAGGGTCCACCCTACTCCAATATTGTTTGATCTTAAGTAATTATATCTGTAAAAGCCCTTTTTCTATATAAGGTCACATTGTGAGTTCTGGGAATGACATGAATTTTGGCAGGAACTGTTCAACTCAATACAGTCTCTAGTCTTTAACTTGAAGTGAAAGATGGCTTTTGTATTTGATTTCCTTCTACACTGAGAGCTCTTTACTTTCTCTTGTTCCTGTCTTGATGCTAATGCTAATTTGAAGTAGAAAACCTTACAGGCAGAATAATCATGTTTCATAATTCTTTTAATTTTATGCAAAATTTAAGTCTTCATGACATCTTTCTGACTTTTGGATTCTTAATTTTGCTGTACACAAGTCCTGGTGGTCTGAATACTTGGGGAAAGAATTGGGATTTAGCGCACTACTCTGTAGCAGTACTTCTTTCATTGTAATTTCTTCTCCGTGTTTGATTTATAGTATAAAGAGATATATTCTGAGATTTGTGTGTTTTGTTTTCATAGATATGGTACAGAGAGAGGTCTTACTAACTTAATCAAAATACTATGTTTGTTACTTGACAGTTTTCCTTCTGTCTGTAAAACTAATGATTATGTTCCTCTGTGTTGCATGTATTCAGGTTGCCTGAAGCTCAACAGAGAGTTGGAGGCTGCTTTTTAAATCTTATGCCACAAATGAAAACCTTGTACCTTGCGTATTGTGCCAATCACCCATCTGCAGTAAATGTTCTCACAGAGCACAGGTATGTACAGCAAGATGTTTTTAAATAAAAAGTAGACATCTTGGGGCACTTTCTAAAACATTTCTGTTTCCCTCCGAAACTTTGTGAAATACGATCTTAATATCACTTGATTATTAAAAGATACGTTTTTAAAATTATCCCTCAAAAGTGGTACCAGAGAAGTACTGGCAAGATGAGATTTTTTAATAAAAGAAAATGAAGTTTTTTGAAGTCTCCTCTTCAATCTACAGGTTTTTGAAAATTCAGTTGAAAGAACTGGTAAGTATTCTGGAATGTAATGCAAGCTAAATCAAGGCTACTGGAATCATATTTCTCTCAGTTCATAAAACTGGAAGTACCTGAGACTGAACTAGATATGCTGTATGAGAAAATGTCCCATTTAAGATTAGTATTAGGTTTTGTAGGTAAAATATTGTTGTTGTTGTTGTTGTTGTTTGCCATCGAGTCGGCCCCGACTCATAGCGACTCTTCCTTGGGTTTCCGAGGCAGTATCACTACGGGAGTAGGATTGCCCAACCTTCCTTCCGAGGAGTGGCTGGTGGGTTTGAACCGCCAGCCTTCTGGTTAGCAGTCAAGTGCCTTAGCCACTATGCTACCAGAGCTCCTAGGTAAAATATTAGAGACCATTAACTTTTTTACTTGAAACAAAATGAAAAGAATGTACTGATAATTTTCTTGTCTTAAAAGATAAGGCAAGTACAGAGAAACCATATATTATATCTGTTTCCTGAGGCTTTGAAGAAGAAACTGCTTCGTTGTCTCAGTTATTGAGGTTCTCATAATCATTCATAAGTACAGATATTGAGAATTGAATTCTGGTGTTGTATTAGGTACTATCCAAACATTTAGAGAGCACAGAGGCTCTGTTTTTGCTTCTAAAAAAAGCACAATCTTTTTTGTTAATAAAAAATTATAAATATTTTAGAAAAAATTAGATGGTTTCTTTCAAAAACAACAGTTCAAAAATTTTCAAAACCGTACATGGCAAAATTGTTTTTGTAGTATCAAGATAAACACCATTGTACTTCTGATTTAAGTATTAACTTCAGCTTACTCTCAAGAAAATGTTTGAACTTAAAACTTAACTATTTTGATAAACAAGCATTGCTCAGTTGTTTAGAAATTCAGTTGGGTTCAGATGTAGCATCAACAAGAGTGCTGGATTTTATAAGAAGTGGTAGTGTAGTGTAGTCATTAAGGAGAGTCCCTTGGAATCAGTTAGACCTGGTTTTGAATCCTGACTGCAACTTTCAAGCTGTTTGACCTTGGGCAAGTTACCTACCTCACTTGTCTGGGTTTCATTTTGCTTTTCTGAAAGTACCTTTTCAATAGGGTTATTATAAAACATTAAGGACACAGTAAATGTTCAATTAAGTGCTACTAATTTTGTTGCCTTCTATTAAAAAAAAAATGACCCATAATATTTACTGTTTCTTCAGGATGCTTAAATGCTAAATGGTAGAATAAATTTAACTTCCCATTTATCTTAAAGCATCTTCAATCTTGAAATGAACCAGCAACCTATAATAAGGTGATGGAAAAAGAAAGATTTGAATACACAGTAGTTAAAGAAAAGGAAACCCTTCTTCAACCTTTTTGGTCTTCCTGTTACCACTCTCCCTTCTGAAAGTATACGCTACATTAGAGATGTATCTTTCTTAAATTATGAAGTATGTATTCAGTTACATGCTGTACTGTCTGCTTCTGGGTTTTATAAATTGAACAAAATTTCTACAAAACACAGCTATTACTACTGCTGAAAATTTTTTAGGAATTACTGATGCAGTGAAGGGAGAGATAAGCAAAAAGCAGGTAGAATGATAGCGTAAAGCTGTAAAAAAAAATTTTTTTTTTTCTTTCTCCTTTCTCCTTTTTGTTATTTTTTGAAAAATCTTCAAAGGTGGAGTTGGAAGTGTAGAAAGTAGATGGTGTAAACAATTTTGGGAGAATAGTCTAAGTAAGTACTTTTCCATGGAAAAAGTGAGCCTCTTTTCTAAAGTTGACATTTAAAGCAATTTAGCTGTTTATGTTACCTAAAATGTTAAGATGTTAAAGGGAAAAATTTGTCAAGTGTGTGCTGTCTTTAGTCTGCAGCATTACCTTAATAACTGTTTTGTATCATCTCTGTAATGTAAGCACAGCATTTTCTCAGAATAACCAGAGTAAAAAATGCAGATAAGTTTCTGAATCTAGAAACTCTTTGCACTGCCTCCATTTGGTATATCCCAGAGTTTGGAAGTGGGTGGACTTAGGTCCTACTACTCTGAACAGCAGTCCTGGAGTAAGTTGCTTTGGAATTCAGCTCTGGGATTCTAAGTCGTAAGAAAGAGAAAAGTCCCTGAGGAAGCCAACAGTGCCAGATGTCAGACAGGATGCGATGCCTCTGTGCCCTGCTCAGACGTTCGAGCAGTGAGAGTTCCCACTCTGTCTACTACAAATCAAATCCCACTTCAGAAGCGTAAGTTGATGAATTGAGACTAGAATTTCATTTGGTTGATAGTTTTTCTTCATGATCACTATTTTTTTATACTTGGATTCTTAATTTGTAATCTCTTGCTTTCTTCCCTACGTTTGTTAAAGTCTTAAAGCTCCTGTACATATGGGTAGATTAGTCTTTTTGTATTTGAATGTAATTTTTAAGGATTAATTGTTGTATAGTGGTTTAAAGTTCAAAAGTTTTATTTGCTGTCTCCTTCATTGTCCTTTGTATTAGTTTTAATTCTAAGTATGAATCTTACTAATGCATATACAGAATAACCAATTTCATAGAATTATAACTAATATGTATCTTTTGCATTATCCTACAATAATAGATATGGCATTCTTGTTCTTAGCTAATTGTTTTGAATGAATTATGGGTTTTATAATTTAGTATGTATAAAAGTGAATTTTGTTGTTTTCCCCCCAGCAGTTTGTTACTTTTTGCTTGGCTAAATGAGACAATTTCCATTATGTGTGTCCCTTTTGTTATTCTCTGCAGGCTACAGTGCCATTTTAGTACATACAGAAGAGATACACTGTATAAGGGTTGCTAGCATCAGTAGAAATTAAGTAAGCTGAAAGGGCCATTGTTTTTGTCAAAATAGCTATTTTCAGCTTTTTTTTTTTTTTTTTTGGCATGAAATAAAAAACAAACTAAACAGTCAATTATAAAGATTTATAAT